GGGAAGGGAGGTGACAGCGAAACTGTGATACACCCGGCGCTGTGCTATGCTATGCCATGCGTGCAGTCCGAACCTCATAATGCTATGCCATGCGCGCGGCTCGGTGGAGTGCTATGCAACGCATGCAATGTCAACATGCAGTGCTATGCCATAGCATGATACAAGCTTCATCGCCCCTTCCCGCACCCCCGACTGAAACAGCCCAACAGTTTCAGTTCGTCTAGGATGTCGTTATAGCCACCCCCTTTCTCCCTCTTCTACTGGCCCCGTGGCCTCTCTCGCTCGTCTCATGGGGTGGCCCCCCACCTCCCCCCCTCCAATCGTCGTGGATGTCGTTATTCCGTTTCGGTGCTGTTTCATTCAGTTTCATTCCGTTTCGGCGTTGTTTCGGTGTTGTTTCAGGAGAAGGAGAAAGGTGAGGAGGGGGGGGTGCGGAGAAGGGGGGGGGAGGAGGATAATGAGGAGGAGGAGAAGGAGGAGAGGAGGAGGCGAAGGAGGAGGAGGAGGAGGAGGGCGCGGCGGCGGGCGCGCCTTTCAGCGCAGAAAGGCGCGGACCAGCGCAGCCACGCCGGCTGGCGCCGGCCGCGCCCGCAAGAGCGCGGCGCAGGCGACGCCTGCGGCGACCGCGCTCTCGCGCGGCGTCGCCGCGGGAAGGGGCGGCGGCCGAGGGCCCGAAAGGGCCTCGGCGTCTCGGGCACGCATCTTCACCGCGTCCTCGTGGATGAGGGCCGCGGCGGAGGGGCCTGTGCGAGGCCAGCCCCATCGCCCACGTCTCGGGGGTGTCGAGGAGGACCCCCGACGTCCCCGAGCCCTCCGACAGGAGGATGCCCCATAGGTCGGGCTCGCAATCCCAGATATGGTGGATATCCACCATATCAGCGACATCTGGGATGACGAGCCCGACCCATGCAGCAAGGGCAACTCCAAGGAGGTGCGGCTTGTAAGCCGAAAAGCAGCGCGCGGGCGGCGTCTCCTCCTCGAGGAGGTGGAAGATGATGATGATGATGATGAGGAGGAGGAGCCAGAAGGACGTGGAGGAGGAGGGAGGAGGAGGAGGAAAGGAAAGGAAGGGGGAGGAGGATGAGGAGGAGAATGAGGGGGATGAGGAGGATGAGGAGGAGGAGGGGGAAAGAAAGAGAATCGCTTCAACAATCAAACAATAGTCGTTCTCCTCAACCCCCCTACTCCCTCTTCTCCTGGCTCCGCGGCCTCTCTCGCTCATCGCATGGGGTGGCCCCCCATCTCCCCCCCTCCAATCGTCGTGGATGTCGTTATTCCGTTTCGGTGCTGCTTCATTCCGTTTCATTCCGCTTCGGTGTTGTTTCATTCCATTTCATTCATTGCCGTTCGGTGATGCTTCTTTCCGTTTCATTTCCGTTTCATCCCGCTTCATTCCATTTTATTCCGTTTCATTCCATTACGGCATTGTTTCACTCCGTTGCATTCCGTTTCGGTGATAGCCGTCTCTCTTGGCGCCACATAGCGTCACCATGTAGCTTGTCAGCTCATCTCATCCATAGCTGTTTGGCTCACGAGCTTGAAGGCTAGTCACCTCGCGAGCCCGAGGGCTGGGCCACATCAGCGCTAGTTGGCTTATACGTACACCAGCTGGATGTCCAGCTCAAGCTGCAACTGCAGCTTACTAGTCAAGGAGATCGGTAGCGTGAAAGCCTTTTTCAAGGCTCGGGCAGACATGAACAGCAGCGGTGACCCCATGCTCCAGAAGAGCTTCGCCGACACTCTGATCAGCATGCTGAACAATAAAAAGCTTCGGCCCAGTCGAAGCCACCCAGCTCGTCGACGCGTTGAGGGGTGAGCCGTACGGCGAGGACCAGACCAAGCGGATCATGGCCATCGTCGACAGCAAGGTCGCCAAGGGCAGCGGCCCCGTCAAGCCAGAAGGCTCTGGTAAGCAATCGCTTAAGGAGTGGTGGTGTTACCTAACGTCTTCGGACTGGGATGTGCTCAAAAACCCCAAGCTTTCGGCGAACCGCAAGATGACGACGATGGTCGAGCGCGCCATGGCCGTCGGTTGCAACGATCCTGCCCAGCATACGTTCAGGTGGGGGACAGCCCTACTAGCAATCACGCATTACGAGACCCCACCCGAGCCAAAAAAACTGTGGGATTTACTGAAAGACTTCAAAGCTTGTTTCAAGCCCGAAAAGAAGGAGTTCGGGTTCTCGCGCATCTTGGAATACCCAGCTTCGCCATCGGAGCTCCCAACAGACATCTTCCAGTCCGCCTACCCTGATGATGACCAGCCGATCACGATCGAGCTCAAGGGCATCAACACAGTCGCTGACAATATATCGTTGCGCTCCAACAGTAGCAAGCTGAAGTCGTCTCTCGAACCAGGTGTTAACGCACAGTTTCAAGCAGCAAAGGAAGAGCTCGGCACCGCCCACAGCCATGACATCACACCAGCGCCCACAACCGACGCACGCACCGCATCACCAGCAGGGGCGCCCATCCCATCACCGACTGACCCGTGCGAGATGGGATTGTTCTACGAGCACCAGCACAAGTTGCTCGAGTACCGCAAAGAGAAAAGCCAAGCGGCTGCGCGGGGCCCTGAAGCACCTCCCGTGAAAGAGCCACGAGCCAGCTTGGCTGTCCACCGCGCTCCTGATGGGACGCTGAAGGTTGCCAAACATGAGACGCCTGTCAAGCGTGAGCTCGAAACCCCTAAACATGAGGAGCAGGGCGCTGTAAAGGCTGAGCAGCACAAACCCGAGGGCGATGCGGAGCACGACGCCGCCGACGATGACGACGGGCCGTGTTTAGAGGACTTGGACCCCCACACCCGCGCTGCGATCGAGGCCCTCAAGAAGCGCAAGGGCAAGCAGAAGGACGAAGCGAAGGCGAAAGCAGCAGCTAAGAAGGAAGCTGCTAAAGCAGCTGCAGAGAAGGACGCTGAGGCCAAGACTGAGGCGCCAACACGGAAGCGCCCAGCAGCAGCCGCTGCGTCCATCAAGCCCGCCAGGGCTGTTAAGACCGAGCCCGCCGCGGCTGCGAAGGGCGCGAAGAAGCCCCAGGCGGCTACTACCGACTTGAAGCCGATCCCGAAGTCTAAAATCATGGGCGCAATGCCGTCGATGCCAAAGGACGGTTCGCACCCACCGCCAATGGTCTACAAGCAAGGCATAATCTACACGAGCCGCAAAGGCCCTCTCCCCCCCCCCCCCATTTCGTTCTTCGCCCGGCTCTCAGAGAGCGCGGCAATTCAATTCCTTAGCGATCCAACCCCAGTTCATCGCGCCGCTTCGTCGGTTTTGCCCCCACACCCCCCCCCCCCACGCCTTCCCCCGCCGACCACCCCACGCCCCCCCCTCCCCCCACCCCCACCCCCCGAATAGGTTGATGTCGCGATGCTTGGGTGTCTTGGTAACGTCCTCCTCCGCCCACCCTCCTTGAACTCCTCCTCATTCTCCATCATCCCTCTCGTAGTGGTATAAATTACTTGTTTTGGATAGTTTTTTTGAACCCTCCATCCTTCTCCTCCTCCTCCTCCCTCCTCCATCCTCCCTCCTCCCCCATCCCTAGCTGCTCCCTCCCCCGCCCCCTCCTCTCCTCCTTCTCCTTCCTCCCTCCTTTCCTCCTCTTCCCCTCTCTCCTTCCTCGCCCCTCCTCCGTCCTTCCCCTCCTACATCTATAGTAGGCTCCTCCTCCTATAGCTCCTCCTCATCCCCCCCCCCCCCTCTGCTACCAACCAATCCTCGCCTCATGTGCCCATCGTTCGTCTTGGGGTCGGGGGCCGTAGTCAGGGCCGTGAGCGAGCGGGAATGGTGGCGAGGGTAACAGAGCATCTCACAGAACGCGCCTAAAGCCCCATGGGCTGGTCGGGCCACTACACCGAGAGCTCCGGGGGGGGGGGGGGGGGGGGGGGGCCTAAGCCGACCGCTGAGGCGTGGGCTGCAGCCGTCAAGGCGATCGACGACGCTGATGGGAAGTCCTGAGACGGTCATTGTTGCACTATCATATAGACAGGTTTTTCGCATAATATACAAGCACTGCGTGCTAAGCCTCGGTTAACACCTGGCTCTCGAGAACGGGTTGCAAGCCTGGAGGGGCGCGTCAAGAAAAGAATGCATGCTCCTCGCTTCATCAATTGCGCACCCTCGTTCTGGAGCAAGAGCTGGCGCCCCCGTCCGTGGCCCATTTCGCTCAGACCTCGGGCTTTGCAGCGTCTACCGCAGTTTCGGATGCAGCCGCCGCGGGCTGCTAAGCTGCGCAGGCTTAATGAGTTCCGTCGTTCCAAGCCTCACTGCGCGGCTTCTGCTTCAGCGGCAATTCTGGCGGACGTGAGGGGCAATGGTCCCCCAGAAGTCATGAATCGGAATTCCATGCGTGCCGCGAGGGATGCTGTTACCACAACTGTCGGCCAGCACGGTCCTATAGTGCAAAGCTTCACGCGCGCTGATGCAGAGGGAGAACCAGCTAGCATACCCATCGCCTGCCCGTTCGCATCCTTAGCGGCAGCTGTCGAAGAGAGTGCGAATTTTCGGAAGTTCTTGAAACGCCAGCTGATGCTTCGCCCATCGACGCCCGAAAAGCCATGGAACTTGATTTTGTATTCTGACGAAGTCACACCAGGGAACCCCTCATCACCAGCGAACCACAGAAAATTCCAATCTATGTATTGGAGCTTCTTGGAATTCGGTGTGAGCGCGCTCAGTTACGAGGAGAGCTGGTTTGTGCTGATGGCTGAATTCTCCGGTTCTGTGAATTCCCTCCCTGCTGGGTTGAGCCAAGCATTCGCTGAGGCTATTAAATGTTTTTTCAAGCCTGATGGCTTTCATTTCCGAGACGGTGGAATTGCCCTTGACTTAGACGGGGATAGCTTCAGGCTGTCTGCTAAAGTCGGCGTGGTGTTGCAAGACTGGGGCGCTCATAAAGCTGTTTGGCAAGCAAGGGGCGACGGCGCGTCCAAGTTTCGTATGCTTTGTAAGAATATGTTCACAGCCGATTCAAGGGTTGTTGATGAGGATGGTTCAGCCATGTTGCGTTGCAACGAAATACGTCTCGATGAGCTCGTGGCGTCCACTGACCATGCGCTTCGCGCCAATGTCAAGTATCTGGAGCGCATGTCGCGGACTCTGTCTAATGAAGAGTTTGTTCTGTTGCAGCAGGCGCTGGGCTTAACGTTTGCAAAGCGAGGCTTACTGCTCGATAGAGCCTTAGACAGGCTGATCAACCCAACAGAGGTGTTTATGCATGACTACATGCACGCGCTGTTCGTCGACGGTGTTGTGAATCTCGTGATCTTCCTAACTTTCGAAGAGTTCATATCTGCTGGGCTTAATGGCGTGTGGGAGTTATTCTCTGACTTCTTGGCAAATTGGGTGTCCCCTGGAAGATTTCACGCTACGCATGTAGACAGCATTTTCAATGCTGATCGGAAGGACAAGCACAGAAAGGCCCAACACGTAAAATGCCAGGCGTCTGATGTATTGTCTATTCTTGGCGTGCTGATGCTATTCACTCAGACGGTCCTGCGACCTATGGGGGCAGCCAGTGCGGCTTGCGACGCTATTGTAGCTTGCGTTCAGCTGTCGCAGCTGGTAGTTGCAACCAGTCGGATCGACGTGAGCCCAGCGAGGCTTCTAGGTTGTGTTCATAAGTTCTTGGAATATGTCACTGCTGCTTTTGGATATGAGTCTTTGACACCAAAATGCCACTGGCTTCTCCTCCTCCCTGGGCTACTCGAAAGAAACGGGAGGCTCTTGAACTGCTTCGTCCTTGGGAGGAACCATAGAATGCCAAAGAGATACGCCACCGAGCTGGCGAACATCCCTGGGTCAGCCAGCAAGTCGTTGCTGAGCGAATGCGTTGCCCATCACCTGTCAGCAATAACGAGCCACAGTTTCAATTATGACGTCGGCTTGTTGCAGGGCCGCAAGGCGCCCAAGAAGAGCAGGCAGCTGATCTTGGACGCATTGGGTTTGGAAGGTGATGATAGCCCAGTGAACGCAGGTAAAGATTCTCGCTTCAGCCAGCTCGGCTTATGCACGCAAGGGGACGCTGTGCTTTTGAACGGCTCCGATGGCATACTTGCCGCCCGCGTGAAGTTGCATTTCGCAGTCAGTGGAGAAGCTGTTTCTATGAAGGAGGTTATGGAACTTTCTCGGCGCACCCCTGGTACTGCAAAGGCAGTGTGGATACTTTCTGAGACCCCAGTGGAGTGCTGGGAGACCAAAGCTATTTTGGCTGCAGTAGAACACTGCGTGTACGCAGACGGCACCGTCGGCACTATCCTGCCATTGGAGTTTTCATGATGGGCTTTGCTGGCGCTTTGCGCTCAGGAAAAAAGAATTCGCATGCGCTTCGCGTAGCCCCGCCGCACAGCCCATCAAGAAACGATGTCTGCGCATTTAAGCCATTGCGGCTGAAGGCAACGAACAGGAGGAGGATGAGAAATGAGGAGGGCTGCTCCGCTTCTCCTCCTCCTCCTCATCCTTCTTGCCCCTGCTGCCTCCTCCTCCTCCCGCAGGCGCCTGAAACCACGGGGCCCCGACGACGACCACGACGACAGATGGAGAGGCAGAGGCGACATTCGGCGGCGGACCTGGTGCTACGCGCCCGCCCCTACATATGCGGTGCAACCTACGTGGTGCAACCTATGTGGTGCATTATGTGCTGTGGTACAACCTATGTGGTGCATGCTAAGCGGTGCAATCTGTAGTGGTGCAACCTATGTAGCGCGGTGCAACCTATGCGGTGCATCCTACGCGGTGCAACTTACGTAGTGCAAACTGATGTGAGAAGTAACAAAGGAACGTATGAAAACGTTGTTTTTTATGTTTGTTAAAGCGAACGCTAAAGTTTATAAAGTTTATAACTCCGTTTTGGATAACTGCTGATAAACTGTATAACTTCGCTAAACTTTAGCTAAACACCCTAAACCTTAACAAACCAAGGATGCATCTCAGTGGGGGCCCCCCCTCAACAAAATCTCGCCCGATACGGCATCCACGCGCAAGGAGAGCTCTGTTCTTGGGACCCCCCACACATCCATACCCCCCCCTGGCCCCGGCATCCCCACCCTGGGAGAGCTCTGTTCTTGGGCCCCCGCACGCGACAATGTTCGCAAGAACACTCACCGATGCCCACCTCCTGGCCCCGGCATCCCCACCCCGGGAGAACTCTGTTCTTGGGCCCCCCCACGCGACAATTTCGCGGCCGAAACCCACCCATGCCCTTCCCCTGGCCCTGGCATCCCCATCCCAGGAGACCTCTGTTCTTGGGCCCCCCCACGCGACATTTTCTCTTCCGAAACCCACCCATGCCGCCTCTGGCCCCAGCATCACCAACCATGCAGGGAGAGCTCTGTTCATAGGGCCCGAACCCCACCCATACGTCCCTCCCACAAGACAATTTCTCGCCCGAAACCCACCCATACCGCCCTCCTGGCCCCGGCATCCCCCCCCGGGAGAGCTCTGTTCTTGGAGCCCTCCACGCGACAATTTCTCGCCCGAAAGCTCCCCTATGCCCCCCTCCTGGCCCCGGCATCCCCACCCTGGGAGAGCTCTGTTCTTGCCCCCCCCACGCGATAATTTCTCGCCCGGAACCCGCCCATGCCCCCCTCCTGGCCCCGGCACCCCCGCCCCGGGAGCTCTGTTCATGGAACCCCCTCCTCGATAATTTCTCGCCCGAAACCCACCCATACCCGAGAGAAGGTGTTTGCATGGCCCGGCGAGTGTTTGCGTGGCCCGGTGGGTGTTTGCGTGGCCAGGCGTGTTCTGGAGCATATGGATTGTCGAGTGCGGCAGAGGGGGGGGGGGGGGCTGGGCACTGGCTGATGCACCCCCCTCTGGGCCCCACCCTTCGGCATATGACGAGCCTCTGGTGGGCATATGGTGGGCCTGTTGCGGGCGGAACTCCAGGGTTGCACCCGCGCGCCCCTGGAGGCTGGTCAGACCCAGATGCTTATTTCGAACGCGGTCGTCATTGGCCATGCGCGGCCCAGCGCTTGCTGGAGGCGTTCGCCGTGCCCAGGCGCCCGGGCGTGGGCATCAGGGCCCTCGTGCACGCGAGGTTCGACGCGGCGGGGAACTCGCCTGACAATTTCGAGGCATCGAGCGCCAGCGCCGTGTCCACGACTCGCGCGTTCCATCTGTGGAACTGGAATGGCGTGGGCACGTCCGGCTATCATTGCCACGGTCTCGTTCTGAAGCGCTGCTAATATAGTATGCCGCTTCAGTGGGCTTGTAGGGTTCGTATCACATTGTGGTTCACAATATAGTCACTACTACATGACTGCGCCATGCCGTAGGGCAATATGCGAAACACAGCTACACATCTGGCGGCTTGTTCTTGTTCGCGTGGCCGCGCAGTCGACCGACGCCCGGCGCGGTCCCGCTGGCCAGCGCGGGCCGCCCGACCATGAAGTTACCGTATTCCTTCCCCCTCGCCCCCTTGCGTCCACCCTCCGTTCTCCGCGGCATTTCATGCCCCCTCCCCGTCCGTAATTCTTCCCCCCCCCCGCCCCTCCTGTCCCTTTCTTCCATGTTTCCCTCGTCGTCGTTGTTCGTCGTTCGTTTTCGTGGTCATCCGTCCGTCATCCGCCCTGCTACCACCCTACCAACTTGTTTGAACGCGCATCCGGATGGGTGTTCACGTGGCCATAGTTTCCTCGGTGGAAGTGCACGCCTTTAAGAGTCGGCAAGAGTTCTGCAAGTCACAACGGAGGTCTCTACACACTCGTTGTAATTTACACGCCAGCACGGGCCACGGCAACACCCATCCGGCCGCGCGCTGGGCCACACAAACACCCAACGGGCCACACAAACACCAAACGGGCCACAGCATCACCCGGTCGCCCCATGCCCCCCCTCCTGGCCCTGGCATCCCCACCCCGGGAGAGCTCTGTGCTTGGGCCCCTCCGCGCGACAAAATCTCGCCCGAAACCCACCCATGCCCCCCTCCTGACCCCAGCATAGCCACCCCAGGAGAGCGCTGTTCTTGGGACCCACCACACGACAACTTCTCGCCCGAACCCCACCCATGCCCCTCTCCTGGCCCCACCCTGGGAGAGCTCTGTTCTTGGGACCCCTCACACGACAATTTCTTACCCGAAACCGACCTATACCCCCCTCCTTGCCCCGGCATCCCCACCCTGGGAGAGCTCTGTTCTTGGGGGCCCCCGCACGACAATTTCCCCCTCTTGGCCCCGGCATCCCCACCCCGCGAGAATTGTTCTTGGGATCCCGACACAACAATTTCTCGCCCGAAACTCACCCATGCCCCCATCCTGGCCCCGGCATCCCCACCCCGGGAGAGCTCTGTTCTTGGGCCCCCCCACGGAACAACTTCTCGCTCGAACCCCTGCATATCCCCCTCCTGGCCCCGGCATCCCCACCCTGGGAGAGCTCTGTTCTTGCCCCCCCCACGCGATAATTTCTCGCCCGAAACCCACCCATGCTTGGATGGCCGCGGCGGTTGCTAAGTACTTAACATACTTACTACGCTAAGTTAAGTACTTAGTAAGTAGTTAGCGGACTTAGCTAAGTAATTACTCAGTCATTACTAAGTGGCCCACTTAGTCATGACATAGTAAGTACTTAGCTATCCACTTATAACCAGTTAGCTAAGTGCTTAGCGCACTTCGCTAACCACTTATAACCACTTATAGCAAGTTAGCTAAGTAGGTTATAAGTGACTTAGCGGTTACATTGCACTTGTTATCCAAGGGCCATGCACAGGGAAAAAAGGTACATCCACGTCTTGAAAGAGCTGAGTTTGTTCGTTGAGCGTTGCAGCGCTACAAATTTTGCATTTGGATTTGGAGCCGGTGTCCTGGATTTTTGCCTTACATATGAGAAGCGCTGCAGCGCTGCCTTCGGATTTATATGAACATGAAGCGCTGCGTGCGCTGAATATGAAGCGCTGCAGCGCTGAATGTTGAGTTAATGCATGTTTTCTAGTTGCACGGTGTTCGGATCTTCATTTTCGTCCAGCTCCGTTTGCATGGAATTTGAATGCACATGTCAATTATGTGTTGTTGTATTCGTTGTTTTTCAATGGTCGCATTGAGCGCTGCAGCGCTCCAAATTTGATAGCACGTATGTTACTTTGCGCTGCAGCGCAACAAAATGTTGTCGTCGTGATGTCGCATCGCGCTGCAGCGCGTGCGCGCTCGTGCTTCATGGGCCTCGGGCTGCAGCCCAGATCAACATTTTTGCTCGCAAGTTGCATGTCCATGCAAGTCGATGTTCACGCGCACGCCGCGCGACAGCTTGTCTCAAGCTGCGGCCGCGCGCCGCGTCCGCCGTCGCGCCCGCGGGCTCGCACGTTGCATTCGGCGCTATATATAGCGCTGGCATGGCGCTGCAGGCGCGTCAGGAGGAGCAGATCTTGCAGTACATCGAGGAAAGCAATTCCTCGGGGAGGTTGGCATCGGGGTGGGATCAACTGAAGGAGTTCCTGCTGGCGGAGGGGCTAGCGTATTACCAGCAGGTCCCACCGAACCAGATGGGCATCGACATTCGGAACCGCAGCGGTTCGTTAGTGAACCCTGCGCGGGCTCACAATTTAGGCGCGAAGATTTGCGCCCAGGGCTTCGTCTTGGCCAAGACGGCTGCAGCCGCTGCCTTCGAGGCCCCGCAGGGGGCGCAGTTGGAAGAGACCGCGATGGCGAACGACCGCCTTTCGCGGCTCAGCGGGGGTCGGTGCCCCCCGCTGGACTCATTGCGGTATACGTCAGTGGGCGGCTCCCACACGAACGTCTTCCTCCGCTGCGTGCTGGCCAAGGCGCCGACCACAGTGAAGGCGCTGGCAGACTCTCGGGACAACATCGACTCCGAAAAGCTGTGCGCGTTGCATCCGCAACTTGCGACGGCAGTCAAAAAGGGCCTGACGTGGTTGATCATCAAGCACGCGGTGGCCAAAGTGAAGGGCCTCAAGAACTTCGTGCAGAGGGCTTTGAACGCCGACGTCAGGGAGGCGGTTCACGAGACCGAGATCATTCGGTCAGGCTGCAGCCTATCCCCACTATAGTATATAGCGGTATGTAGTAAGGACCAGGATGATGCACGAGGAGGGTGATGAGTGGGAGCGCGTTGGGGAGGAGGTGAGAACGAGGAGCAGGAGCATTATATCTTACAGTGCTGCAGCACTTGATCGGCTCGGCGCTTGCTGCAGGCAGGTGGGCGGATGCTCTTGGCACACAGCCTCGCTGAGGGTTCCAGCAAGCCCGATTGGCGCGACATCGCCGAGCAAGCGGGCCACGCGAACCCACCTTGCAAGGCGTGGATCGCTGACTTGTGCAAGTTTGTTGAGCTCGGGCCACAAAACGGAGAACTTCTCCGTGAAATAGATGAAGCCCTCAAGACCTTCACGAATGTGGACGTCTCGGGGCAAACTTTGATGTGCGGCTCTGAATTCTGGCGCAAGTTGAATTCGATTAAATGGGGGAAGCACCAGGAGTCGCACCCGTATGTCGTAGCGGCGCTCGTGAAGGCCAACTATTCAGGCGAGCACGTGGTGGATAGCATGTGCAGGACCATCCATAAGCTTGTCGGCGCCCCCTTGTAGTGACATGCGCTGCAGCGCATCTATGCATTGCGCTGCATTGTTAGAACTGCGTACCCACCCCTCCCCCCTCCCCACACACACACACACGCACCGTTACATTGCTTTATTCCCAAACGCAATCGCTGAAGCGATGGGCGGATCAAGGCAAACGAGATCGTCCACGTCGCGTCCCGCAAGGCGGACGTGGCTGCGGCCGACAACCTCATGGCCGACGCAAGGTCGCTCGTGAAGAGGTTGGATATCGGAGCGGAGCAGGGCTTCTTGCACATCACAAAGTTGGATGTCCGTTGCGCCATGTACCTGGTGAAGAAGCGAGCGCCAGGAGACCGCACTTTCGGATGCGTCGCAGATATAGCACAGGTGTCGTCTCATGCCACCTTTCGTGTGCTCCTGGTGTCCCTCCCTCCCTGCTTTTCGCCATTCAATGTCGCTGCAGCGATCCTCCAGAGGGGTCTTCCTCCATGAGCTCGGGGAGCCAGCCCAGCTGCAGATGAAGAGCTTGGGGATCGAGTTCGGCAAGGCGGTGCAGACCGACAAGCAGGGCGATGGCGCGCCCGAGTTGCCAGCGGGCGCCGATGCAGACGCGCCGCGCGCGGCAGCGTCGTCGGCCGCCGAGTTGAAGAGCAACGTCTTCCGCATGCGGCGTGCAGGGTTCGACGTGGGGAAGCACATCGTCCAGAAGAAGGAGGTGGATGACGTCTTCGAGGTGCTCTCCATCTCGGAGAATGGGATCACCGCCCAGAAGAAGTTGCACGACGACCTGGCGGGCGAAGAGATCTCCATTGCGTGGCTGCAGCCACCCCGCCGCCCGTGGGGAGCAGGGAGGGGGGATTTTAGGTAGTAACTGCGATATTGCATTTCCTGTACTTAAGTTGCAATGGGTTGGTCGGTGCGCTGCAGCGCACGGAACAGTTAGCCGAGCGGGCGGATTGAAGTAAACAGATTGCTCGAGAATTACAAGTTGACGTCCAGGGTGCAAGAGCAGTTGTCGTTCGCGAAGGAGCACTTGCCGCCAGCCCACGAGGGTTGGGCGATGGGCGCGTTCAAGGGGGCATGCAACATGGCGCTGCGGCTCCAAGCGCTGAAGTACCAGGCGAACATTTTGCACTTGGAGATCCTGCAGGACCCACCTGCCGCGCGCTGCAAGCGAGCGTTCAGAAAGTCGCCGCGCTGAGCGCTGCGCTGAGCTGAGCACTAGCGAGGATCTCGGGGCACGTCAGGCCGTAGCGACGAGGTCAGTGATGTTACCGACTGCGCGCCATGTAGCTCCACGCGGTGGGAATGGTCGCATTTCGGCCTCGTCCACGCGGGTCAGCACGGGCTGCGTTGCGGAGAGCATCTCGTTGGGGAAGGTTGGCCTCTACGAGTTCTTCGTGGGCCCGCATTTCGCAGGGCCCCACGCTGAGGGGTCGCGGGGCCCCGACGCCTTTGTCGGCCCCTTCTGGGCGGTGGCAAAGTCCGACTCAGAGCCCAACATGGAGCTCCGAAAGGAGACCGTGACGTTCGGGGCAGGCGTCAACAAGGTGCAGGTGGGGGTGCCCCAGATGCATAACACTTGCGCCCTGTCCGCGGGCGACTTCCTGGTGGTGAAGCCGTGGCCGCGGCTGCAGCCGCGGCCAGCCAAGAAGCTCAGGACGGCCTGAGCTGGCG